GACAGAGGAGGTGGCGACTAAGCCTGTGTGTGTGGCCAGAGTCAGTGACAAGCCTCCCACCCAGGCCTGGGGAAGCCCTCAGCTAGTGTGGTTCCTGTGGCAGCAGCCAAACATGCCAGAGCTCCTCATACCTTCAGGGATGTGGTGTAACAGCCAGCTTTATGCGGTGGCATTGTTTAGTGTTGGTCAACGTGACTTCTCTGTCCCCACCCTCTATATTTAAGGGAATCTGGCCATCGCCCAGTAGAGGAAAAGCTGGCATTCGCAAAGTAGCTTCCTGCTGCCTGTATTGTAGGAGTCAGGACCACCTTCCATCTCTGCCTTCCTACCCAGGTGGAAAAGGCAAAGGTCTCCTCTGTGCTCAGTCTCCTGTTGTGGGGTTTCAAGTTGCCTAAGATCAGGATGCAGCTATTTGCCAGGTTATCTGCCCAGATAAACATTTATTGTTTACAGGATCATGTTTCAGCTGCTCTGACTGATCCCACTGGTGAGATCTTCTAGTTTCTTGAGGTTTTAAGCCAGTATGTGGGGCTGACGTCCAGACACAGAACTTATGGAGCTTGAAAGGCTCTGAGTGACCGGCCACTTCTAACTTACCTTAGCCATTGCCCCCTTCCCACCCAGTGCCAGAGCCAAATTTTTATTTCTCAGTTCCCTCTACATTTACAAGATTTCTAGCTTTAGAATTTGGGGGTTTATCTGACCCAGTGTTATGACACAAACAGTTTGAGACTTCTCTTAGGTGGCAAAACCAATATTCTGACACTTTACCATGTTTTCTTAATATAGCTAGTAAGACAGCCATTTAATAAAGGCAAAAGAGATAAAGACACATTTTCTTTTTTAAATCCGGACAACCATATCCACTGCATCCAAGTATACATTGCCTTTTTATTTTTTAGTGATATAATTGATTTTCAACATTTTATTATACTGCAAAGTTGAAAGAATTTTACGGTGAGCTCACTTATCCCCAGCATGTATATTTTCTCATTCTCATTTTACAATACTTGCTTTATCATGTATCTATCCCTCTCTCTTTCTGTCCATCATCAATTTCTTTTTCATCTGTGTCATCAATACAATTTCTCTCAATCCTTTAGCCTGTATATATATATCTTTAACTAGAGTTTAATATTTATGACTTTTTCTTTTTAGGTTAAATTTACATGCAATGAAATGGGCATATATTAATTGTACTTTTGCAGTTCCTCCATGTTATTTATCAGTTTATTTCTTTTTTATTGCCAGGTAACTATTCCATTTTATGAATATGTTACAGTTTATCCATTCTGCAGTTGATGAATTTATGGACATCTAGGATTTCCAGTTTGGAGCTATTATAAATAAAGTTACTGTAAATAGTTGTACATAGGTCTTTTTGTGGACATGTATTTTCTCTTGGGTAAGTGCCTAGGATTGAAATTGCTGATTCGTTTTTTATTGGAGACTGCTGACCTCTTTCCAAAGGTGATTGCACCATATTATACTCCACCAATATGAGTTCCAGTGGCTCCACAGCCTCATTGGGAAGAGGGGTGATAGACCATTGGGTTTTAATTCGCATTTTCCTGATGTCTAATAGTAGAAGTTGTATGCTTTTTCATGTGCTTGCTGGCCATTTGTATATATTTTTTATGAAGGATCTGTTCAGATCTTTTGCTCATTTTCTTTGCATTGTCTGTTTCCTTGTTTTTGAGTCAAAAGATTTCTTTATGTATTCTGGATACAGGTACTTTGTCAGATATGTGTCATGAATATTTTTACTCATTTCACGGCTTGCCTATTTATTTTCTTAGCAATGTCTTGGTGAGCAGAAGTTTTTAATTTTGATGAAATCTAATTTATGCTGTTTTTTCTTTTATGGCTATTACTTTATGAGAGCTAAAAAAAAAAAAAAGTCATAAACACTCTCTTCCTTGCCACCCTCCACCCATAGTTTCCCCTATTAACTTCTTGCATTAGGATGGTACAGTTGTTACCACTAAGGAGCAGATATTGGTACATTATTACTAAATGAAGTCCATAGTTTACATTGGGGTTTAGTCTTTGTGTTGTACAGTTCTTTTGATTTTGACAAATGTGTAATGACATGTATTCACCATTACAGTATCACACAGAATAGCTTCACTGCCTTAAAAATATCCTGTGCTCCATCTATTCATCCTTCGACACCTTCTCTAGCCCCTGGCAAACACTGATATTATTACTGTCTCTATAGTTTTGCCTTTTCCAGAATAGGAAAATAGTTGGAATCACATAGTATATAGCCTTTTCAGATTGTTTTTTTTTTTTTTTTTCACTTAGCAATATGTGTGTAAGGTTATCTTTGTGGCTTGATAGCTCCTTTCTTTTTATTCCTGACTACTATTCTATTTCATGGATGTACCACAGTTTGTTAATATATTCACTTATTGAAGGACATTTTGATTGCTTCCAAGTTTTAGCAGTTATGAATAAAGTTGATATGAATAATTGTTTGCAGATTTTTGTATGCATATGTTTTCAACGCATTTGAGTAAATGCCAATAACTGCAATTGCTAGATCATATGGTAAGACTATTTGGCATTGTAGGAAAATGCCAACCTGCCTTCAAAGTGACTGTACCATTTCGCATCCTACCATCAATTAATGGACGTTCCTGTTGCTCCACATCCTCAAGCATTTGGCGGTGTTTGCGTTTTGGATTTTAGCCATTCTAATAGGTGTATAGCGGTATCTCATTGTTTTAATTTGCAATTCCTCAATGACTTATGATGAGCATTTTTCATATGCTTATTTGCCATCTGTATATTTGGTTCAGTGAGATGTCTAGGTCTTTTGCCCATTTTTAAATTGGATTGTTTGTTTTCTTATGAAGTTTTTCGTCACTGATTGATTTTTAAATGTTAAAACAACATTGTGTTACTTGAATAAACCCTGTTTGCTATATTGGATTTGTCAATATTTGGGTAAAGATCTTTGTATCTGTGTTCATGAGGGATATTTATAATTTTATTATTATGTCTTGTCAGGATTTAGCATTAGAGTTATGCTAACCTCATTAAATGACTTGAGAAGTGTAACCTCCTCCATTTTCTGACTTTGTTTAATATTGGTGTTAATTCTTACTTAAATGTTTGATAGAATTTACCAGTAAAACCATCCTGGCCTAGAGTTTCTTTGGGAAATTTTTGATAATGAATTCAATTTATTGAGTATACCATGTAGTTATTCATATTTTCTGTTTTATCTTGTATCAAGTTAGGTGAGCTTTAGTTTTCAAGGAATTTGTCCATTTCATGTAAGTTGTTGAACTTGTTGGCATAAAGTGGTTCATGATGATATTTTACTATCATTTTGATGTCTGTAGGATTCGTAGTGACATAATGGATCATTTGAAGATATTTGGGATTGCCTAAAGATCTTATTGTTACTGATTCCTGATTTAATTCCATTATGATCAGAGAACATACTGTACATTATTTCAGTCATCTTAAATGTATTGAAATTTGTTTTATGGCTTAGCACATGTCTGTCTTGAAGAACATAATGTTATATACTTGAAAAGTATGTATTCTGCAGTTATTGAGTGTCTCATTTTATAAATATAAGCTAGGCCAAAGTGGTTAACAGTGTTGTTCAGATCCTCTATGTCTCACTAATATTTTGTCTGGGAGCTTACTTGGTCATATTGGAAACAAGTCCTGCCCTGGCTAACTTAGAAATTTGTACACATTTATATTAGTGCTATTTCTGTCACTTAGAGTTTTGGGGCCTCTGTTTTGGACCCATGACTCATTCTTTAGATATCCTTAAGGATGTCAAATCTTTAGACTTTAAGTCCATCTTTGATTTTTTATAGCCAGAACAATACTGGAGTCAAGAATAATAAGTATATTTTCCAGTGAACAAAAAATACATTGAGTAAGTTGAGTTGTTTCTTTTTAAGGTCAAAAATAAATTGGGTTTTTGAAATAATGAGAATTACTACTAAACTAATAAACTGATTTTGAAAATGTTTAAAAGAGTTTTCAGTTTCTTTTGAGTTTAGACATTTGTGTATCTTCTTAGTGAATTACCTTCGCATGTCTTTTGCCCATTTTTTATTGGAATATTTTTCACTTATATTTTTAAAGGCCTTTCCAGCAAGGGTTATAACCCTTTTTCAGTCATTTATATTGAAAATATTTTATACAATTTGTCACTTAACTTCCATTGTCTATGGAATTTCCTCATGCAAATGATTTTAAATTTTGTGCAGTCAAATCTTTCCATTTTCCCTTAGGAAATTTATTTTTATGCTTAGAAAAAGTCTTCCTAACATAAAATCAGATGAATAACCATATTTTCTCATTATTTTACTTTTTGAAAAATTACTAAAACTTTCACCTGGAATTTATTTTGCTGAATGATGTGAAGTAGAGCACTAACTTAATTTTTTTCAAAATAGTTTACAAATGGTCTTAGCATCATTTATTGAATAATTTATTCTGCCCCATTTAACTAAAAATTCAGCTTCATCATGTAATAGATAAATGTATATGCTGTACTAGAATATATATGATAGATGTAGATGCATACTACCATCTATTTCTGGGCTTTTTTTTATGTTGGTCAATTCTTGAAACATTACTATTTTAGTTGCTATAGATTCATAATATGTTTTAATACCTGTGATATGAGTTTATACATACCCCTTTATATTTTTTATTGTAGTAGTATACCTTTGATTTTCCCCACCTATTTATGGTTTATGCAAACTTCAGAGTAATTTTAAGTCCCTTTAACTCCCCCCCCACACACAAAAAGAATTCCTCATGATATTTTTTATTGATATATAATTGACATGTAACTTTATATTAGTTTCAGGTATACAACGTAACGATTCAGTATATGTATATATTGCAAAGTGATTACCACAATAAGTCTAGTTAGCAGCTATCACCACACAGAATTTTTTTTCTTGTGGTGAGGACGCTTAAGACCTATTCTCTCAGTAGTTTTCAAATATACAGTCAAAAATATGAGATGCTTCACAAATTTGAGTGTTATCATTGCACAGTACATTGCTAATCTTCTCTGTATCATTCCAATTTTAGTATACGTGCTGAACAAGTGACCACTCCTCATGATATTTTTATTGGAATTGCATTCGCAATTTCTTTGGAAAAATTTGACATTGTTATAAGATTTTTCATTAGAACAAGGTATTCTCTACATATCAGTTCTTTTATGTCTCTCACAATTTTTTCATTAATTTTCTTGCTATAATAAATTGGACTTTTTTTTTCATTATACCCAAATAGTATTTAGGAAAAGCTAACACATATCTTTACCCAGTCATCACATCAAACTCTTGTTAATTCTAATTTTTTTTAGCTGATCACTTTGGATTTTCTAAGAATATGTACTTCAAATTATGACAATGCAATCTCATTTTCAATAGTTATATATCTTATTTTCTGATTTCTACCTCATTGCTTTGACTGAAACTACCTCATTGCTTTGACTGAAAACAAGTAGGAATTCTTGTTTTTCTTCAAAATGGATACTTCATTATTTTAAACATTTACATGTTTCTGTTGGTTTAAAAGACATAGTATTTAGCATGTTAAGAAAGTGTCTTTCTATTTTAATTTACAGAATCTCTTAGAATAAAGCATATCGTAAAGTTTTAACATACTTTCTCAGCACCTATTAAAATAATCCTTTCTTTCTTTAATTTATGTGATGTGTTAAATTAATATATTTTCCAAACTTGACTTTTCCTTTTTTTAGTGAGATAAACCCTATTTGGACTCAGTATAGTCATATTTTAACATTTTGTTAAATTTGATTTGCTGTTATTTTATTTAGGATGTTTACATTCATTTCCATAATGGGCCTGGCCTCTCTTTTCTGTCTTTGCTGTTTTTCCTTTGGATATTTGAGTAATAAGGTGTGCTGACTTTATAAAAAGAAATGGGAAACAACTTTTCTTTATCTGTGACCTAGAAAGTGTATATTACTTGAAGAGTCATTCTTGATTCTTTCTCTCATACTCTACCTTCAGTCTCTCAGCAGTCCTGTCACATGATATGGAACATTTCCATCACTTCTTCTGTCAGTTTTGTTAACTTATATTATCCAGAAAATCATTCATTTCTCTGAAATCTTCACATTTTAAAATCTTCTAACTAAAAATTAAGGATATATTATTATATCTACTTTTCACTCCTAATTTTATTTGTATGTTTTCTGATATTTTTTAAAATTTGTTAGCAACTTGTACTTTTTAGTTTTCAAAAACTGGCTCTTATATTTACTGTTTTATAAATCAGTAATTTTTATTTTTAATTTTATTTTCTTTTATTTTTCCTAGGGTTATTTTGTTCTCCTCGTGTTGGATCCTTTAGTGATCATTTGTTTTTGATTAGTTTACTTAAAATTTATGGCTTTGAATATGCCATTATGTTTGGCCACATTCTAATCTATTTATATGTATACTATTCTAATGATCATTTTTTAAATAGACTTTGATTATCATTTTGATTTTTCTCCTTAATTCTGAAATTATTGTGGGAGTTTTGTTTTTTTTGAAGTTAAATTTCTTAAACTTTGTTATTAATTTTTACTTCTGGATATATTTTTTAAATCTGACTTAATACTTAATTTTAAAAAGTTTGGTCTACAGCCATGCCACCTTGAACGTGCCCGATCTCATCTGATCTCGAAAGCTAAGCAAGGTCAGACCTGGTTAGTACTTGGATAGAAGATCACCTACAAATACCAGGTGCTGTAGGCATTAAAAAAAAAAAAAAGTTTAAAGAATTTCGAGAATGTATTTTTGTTGTATACAAAATTCAATAATATATAGCTATAAAACCATCTTTATTAATGATACTATTCTGATTGTATTATTTTTACCTGCTTGATTATTGAAGAGTATAAGTGGTATTCTGCCACTACAATTCTGTTTTTGTCAGTTTCTCCTTGTATTTCAAAGGTTTTTTTCTTTCTATGTCTTCATTTCAGTTTTTCCTTTCTTGAATCCTGCTTGGTTTTTGTTTTGTTTTGGTGTTTGTCTTTTCCTAATAGGTTTTTTTCCCCTACTCCTGACCCCCAATTTTTAAAAAATCTCATTGTTTTAACTATGTCTCTTCTAAACTATATCTACACGCTGCATCTTTTAAAATTTTTATTGTGGCGAAATTCATATAACATAAAATTAACCATTTAAAGTGAACAGTTCATTGGGATTTAGAACGTTCACAGTGTTTTACAACTACCACTTCTCTACTCATTGTATTTTAATTCCACTCATTTATCTTTAATTTTTAGAATAAAATACAATTATTTTTCTCTGCTTATCCAGTAGAAGAATTAAACAGAATATAATAATTTCTCATTTCAGTTAAGATTATGTTGAGCTGCAAGAAACAGAAAACCCCAAAATAACAGAAAGTTAAATAACATAGAAATAGATTTCCCTTTCAAATTGGAGAAGCACAGAGGCTTTCTGGTTTGGCACTCCATGATGTCATGGACCACGGTTCTTTCTGTTTTGTTGCTCAGCTATACTTGGCTTTCATTTCCAAGATCCCTCCAAATCTAAGATGGCTATGGGAATGCAAGTCATTTAATCTGCATACAAGCCTGTGGGGAGTAGAAACAGTTAAAGAAGGAATGCAATTTAAAATTATATATATATATTTAAAAGACACCTCTCCCTTAAAGGACTTACCTGGGAGTTCATACATACTTCTGCCTACATTCTCTTGGCTGGAACTGAGTCATGTGGCCAAACCTAGCTGCAGTGTAGACTGAGAAATATTTTTATTCTAGGTAGCCATAGGCACAGCTAAAATCAAGAGTTCTATTACAGAGGAGGAGAAGAAGAACAGATCATGAGAAATAACTAGTTTCTACCACACCACCCCATACATAAATGTAGGATACTCTACTTCTTCCTCCTTTCTTCTCTCCTCCAATTTCTTAGTTTTTATAGATATCAGCGAGGTGTTAGATTATAGAAGCTATTTATTAAAAGTTTCCAATGTGCCGGTATTTAATCTTCACAATAACCCTGTGAGGTGGGATAAGTAATGTTATTATCCTTATTATACAAGTAAAGAAATAGACTCAGAAAGTTTAAGCACTTTACCTAAAGTCACACATCCAGTAATTCAAACCCATGCTATAGTGTCCAAATTAACCACTGTACACTCTCAACTCTGTTTTTGTTAATTGTTTTTATAATGCGGTATGTACATTGTCTATCTTTTCTTTAAAGAATGATTTTTGACATCTGCACTGTTTTAGAATCATATTAGCATCACTTTCTTAAAATTAAATATCTTTTCCTCTTTTTGTGTTTTGCCATTTAGTTTTCGTTGGGGTATTTTGTTGTTTTGTTCTTTTTAGTTTTTACTGTTGGAATTACAAAAAAAGTAAACAGCATAGTATAATGAATCACCGTGTAGTTTGAACAGTGATCAACATTTTGCCAATATTTTTTTTTAGTCATTCACCTTGTCCCCAGCCAGGTTTTTGTTCTTGGGGATTTTAAATCAAATTCCATTTATCGTACAAAAATACTTCCGTAGGTATGTCTAACTTATAAGGCTTTTTCCCCTAGCATAATCTCTATAACACGATTGTACATGTCAAAATTAATAACTTAATATTTTTGAATTCTCCACATTATCTAAAAAATGCCATTTCTCAATGAATTAATCAGAATTAAGATCTAAGCAAGTTCCATACTTTGTATAACAGGTTCTCCACCTCCCTTTTTTTATGCCATTTATCTGCTGAAGAGATTCTTGATTTTTTTTATTCAACAATGTTCTTGCTTTTTTTTTTTTTACTAATACCTGGTTTTACTGTGATACATATTTAAATAATATTTTTTTCTGAAAGAAAAGTGTTTATTATCTTTCTAAGTCTTAGTTTGAGAATGTCTTTCTTTTTCCCTTCTCCATGAATGGCTACCTAGTTTGGGGAAAGAAAAGTCTGAAGCCAGTCAGTCAGGTCGATAGATATGTGA